AAGAAAGAAATTACAAATAAACACAGAGGAATGGGAGCACTGTGATGAGAGTAATCCAATAAACCTAAGCTCCCTGCGGCAAGGCAGAAAGGACAAATCAATGTTATCCTACAGCCTTGCATATGACCATGCCCAGTTCACTCTCCAGCACCACATGTAGTTCCCTGAACATTTCCAGAAGTGACTCCTGACAACAGAGCCAGGAGTAACACCTGAGCACTTTTGTGTGTGGTCTTCAAAGCAAATAGAAAATAAATAGAAAAAGAAAAAAACCCAAAAGGAAAAAAGAACACCAAAATGGCCTTTAGCAATATCTGTCTGGTTTTTTTCTGCCCAAAGTGACAGCCAGCTTCCTGCATTCTCCGAGTTATGCTCCTGATCTTCTATGAACGAGATTTGAAAAATAAATTTTGAAGGCCTGTCACCCAAGAACAGAAAAAGATTTGGATACTATGGAATATAAAGTTATGATCAGGTAAATAAGAACAGAATGTGCCCACCATGAAAATCTTTTACATGATTACCAACAGAAATTTGATCTACCTGTGTTGGAATTGGATCCTGGCTATAACTTTGCTAACCATAAGACCTATTGAAGTGTCTTTTCTTCTAACATGAAGAAGCTGAGATACATTCAAGCTTTATGTCTAGATGAACTAGTTCACACCAATAGATAGAGAAACAGAGACTAGATAGACATGCACACACATATATAACATAATAATACATGTACAAATATAAATATATGTATATATGTAGCACTGTCCTCTGTTGTTCATCGATTTGCTCAAGCAGGCACCAGTAATGTCTCCATTGTGAGACTTGTTGCTGTTTTTGGAATATTGAATATGCCATGGGGAGCTTGCCGGGCTCTGCTGTGTGGGTGGGATACTCTTGGTAACTTGCTGGGCTCTCTGAGAGGGACAGAGGAATTGAACCCAGGTGAGCCGCATACAAGGTAAATGCCCTACCGGCTTTGCTATTGCTCCAGCCCATGTATATATGTATACATATGTTGAGTTTTATCTTGGTTCTACAGTTACATATACAAAATTATTCATTGTCATTTTTAGCAGAGTTTCTCAGACAGGAAGAGCCAATGTCAGCATCAGAATGGGATTCAGAACATCTCTAAGGTTAGTTAGCACCTCCTGGCACTGTACCTGCTTAGACTTGAATAATGGGGACAGAGGAGTCAAATAATCAGGCTCCAGGGGGTGCTGTACTCATCTATGTGTTGACCTTAACTAACTCTTCCAAGTAATTACCACATAGCAAATCAATCAGTAGCATTTATCAAGCATTCATTAAGTACCAAGCATTGATTCAACCTCTTGGAGACAAAAGAGAAGAAACAACTGAAGTTTACCTTTATTGGTCTAGGCAGATAACTGCTTGAATTGAATGAATTTCATGAAAGATAGTAAGGAGTATGTCTTTATATGAGAAATACTTTCATGACCTCAGGTAAATAGCCCATTGAAGAACTTTATCCTAATAATTACCTGCCTGAGCTGAATTCTGGCTGTTCCACTCACAAGATCAGTGGCCATGTGAATACCCCTAAGATTGGTTCCATGTCAGTACATGATAGCTGCATCAGTTTCTGTACAGGGTTGCTATGAAGACAATTTGAGACCGTACAAAGCGTATGGAATGCACCTAGAGAAAGTTCCATGAGTGTCAATTACAATTACCACTTAGCTTCCCTCTGAGTGTGAATGGCAACCCAAAATCAGAATAGAGTCAGTCAGCAGCTGGAGAGGTTGCAGGGCACCAACACAAGATAAAGAGATCAGGTTAGATTTGTCTTAGAGTTTCTATTCCTTTGTTATGAAAATGTTCAAACATACAAAACAGTAGAGAGAAAACTGTAATGGGTCCTTTCCAGCCCATTTTCTCGATACAGGTGTTGAACAGCTTACTGCATTTATATTATGTATTTAAAAATAGGTATTTTTACTAAAGTGTTTTATAGTATATTAGAAATATAATTACATTCCATTTTTAAATGCTTCCCCACATGCCTCTAAAATGTAAGAACAGGGACCAGAGTGATAGCACAGTGGGTAGGGCATTTGCCTTGCATGCGGTCGACCTGTGTTCGATCCCTGGCATCACATATGGTCCCCCCAAGCACGGCCAGGAGTAATTTCTGAGTTCAGAGCCAGGAATAACCCCTGAGCATTGTTGGGTGTGACCCAAAAAGCAAAGAAAATAAAAAGTAAGAACATTTTCTTGCAGACTGCTCTTTGGTCCCATCTAACAAGTCAACATTTCTCTAATCAAACACCCAGTCTTCCTAGAGTATTTTGAATGACGTTTCTGATTTCAAGAAAGGATGTGCTGTGGCAGAGCTCAGTTTGAAGACAAGATATGAGTTGCTGATGTGGAAAAGAATATTTCAGGTATTAATTAGACTAGAAATCGAATGTACTGGCTGGCCAAAGTTTCTCTTATGGACCATCGAAACCATGCAGGGGAACAGAGTCTGGTCTGAGATCCTTTGTGTGAGTGCACTCAATTTTCTTCTTTCTAAAGGAGCAAAACATGTTTTTGAAAGCTGCTTGACAGACACGGAGGATATTAATAAATGACATGCAAATTTCTTAATTTCACTTTGGCTGGATATGTGATTGCTACTTCTGAAATACAGGCTGGTAATACAGCTTCTTCTTTTTAAAGAAACAAACAAACAAAAAAAGACTTCTCAAGTTCCAAGTGAATGTTGGGCTGTCCTGCTGAACTTGACTGGGGGCTGAGGCAGGCTTCTTCTAGACCCATGGGACTAATATCAGAACACATCTAAATGAAAATTGGTGCAAAGTCAGAAGTTGAGAGTTTCATTTTGAGACTTGAGTAGAGATACTGCAAAGGTTTGACTGAAAAGCTGCTTAAAGTTCTTTTTATAGTTCTGTTGCTCACACATGAGAAAGCAATTTCATTGATCGGCCTTTTTATATTTAACTTTTGTGCTATTACTGTTCCTCTATTTCTCCTTCAGCTCTGCAAGGTGGGATCAATTCTTCCTGATCTGTGGTTGGAGACACTGGGTTTTCCAGTTCAAATAACCCTTCTCCCTGCTCTGAAGTATAGGTGTGGGGCCTTTGTCTGAGATAAGCAGAGTTCCCTGAGGTCTTAGAACTGGCCTTCATGCTAGTAGTTTAGTGAGGTGGGGACCCTACCGTAGAGGGAAGGAATAAAATGAAAGGAATTCGGAGCAAGACTACTTATACTCAAAGTCTGTGCTCATTATCTACAGCAGGTTCCTCTTTTCTTAAGGGAAGGGTGGAGCACATTCTTCAAATATGCCTTTCTCATATATTTATGTTTTAGAATTTTTTTTCACTTATTCAGGAATGAATCATCATTTCCCTATATTAAGGGAATCACTTTCTTATAAAATAGAGAAACAGGCTGAATGTTTTTTTTTCTTTTTTTGTAGGAGTACTGCTATTTATTCAGCCACTGATTAGCTGATTGAATTGTGCATGAACTCCACCTTACTTTTTTTTTCTTTTTCCATTTTTTATAATTTTATTTATTGAATCACCGTGAGAGCAGTTACAAAGCTTTTGGGTCTAAGTCTCAGTCATACAATGAAACACCCGTACCTTCACCAGTGCCCATTCTCCACCACCAAAAATCCCAGTATACCCCCATCCCACACCCTCCCCCTGCCTGTGGGACAGATGATTTCCACATTACTCTCTCTCTACTTTGATCACATTCACTATTTCGACACCAGACCCACCATTATTGGAGATTTTACCCCAACACTCAGATCTGCTGAAAAGCCAACAATAGACAATTTGTGTTCTATTGCTGGTTATGAATAACATATGATGTCGTGTGGCTGCAGTAGGGCCATGTGGTTTTGAAATTCTGAAATTTTAACACTTAAATCTGGAGGGATTTCTGCCAAAAGCCACTGGGTTTAGAGATCTACTCCTGAGTCTCTGGGATCATGGCCATTGAGCAGCTTGATGAGGAGCCAAAGAGGCTGTTCGTGGGCGATGACTTGGGGTCTCATTGGGGTGGGGAAGACAGGCCCAGCTCCACCTCTCCCCCCCCCCCATCCCGTGAGACCCAACAAGTTTCGTCACTGCGGGCCCAAGCCTGACTGTCCAATGGCCTCTGGAGGATGATAGCCACCAAGTCGCCAAGAGGGAGCAGGCAGAGGGACAGCACCCATTTCCCCCTGGGGTGGCCCGGCGACAGTAACCTACTGCAGGGTCCGGACACATTTCTGACAAAAGCCGCTGGGTTTCGAGATTTGTTTGAGTCTCTGGGATCAAGGCCATTGAGCAGCTTGATGAGGAGCCAGAGAGGCCGTTTGTGGGCAATGACTTGGGGTCTCATTAGGGTGGGGAGGACAGGCCCAGCTCCACCTCCCCCCCTATCCCGTGACACCCAACAAGTTTCGTCACTGCGGGCCCAAGCCTGACTGTCCAATGGCCTCTGGAGGATGACAGCCACCAAGTCGCCAAGAGGGAGCAGGCGGAGGGACAACACCCTTTCCTCCCTGGGGTGGCCCGGCGACAGTAACGTACTGTGGAGTCCGGGTGCATTTCTGCCAAACGCCACTGGGTTTTGAGATTTGTTTCTGAGTCTCTGGGATCATGGCCGTTAAGCAGCTTGATCAGGAGCCAGAGAGGCCATTTGTGGGCGATGACTTGGGGTCTCGTTGGGGTGGGGAGGACAAGCCGGGCTCCACCCTCATCCCGTGAGGCCAACAGGCTGAATGTTAATTCTGTATAAATATGTTGATTCTACCAGGTGTTTTGCTGTTGTTTGTTTTGGGGGCCCCACCCTGCTGTGCTCAGGGGTTACTCTTGATTTTGTGCTCAGGGATCACTCCTGGGGGACGACTCGAGGGACAATATGGGGTGTCAGGTATTGAACCCAGTCAGCCATGTGTAAGGCAAGCAACCTAGCCACTTACTATCTCGGTGGCTCCACTATTACATGTTCTTAAGTGCCTTACTTTTTTTTTTATACAGGGGAGAGTATGAACACAGTCCTCCACTACCATATATCATGCAGTTGAGTCTCTCACATTTGGAGAAATTACAGGGATCAGCACATCTGGAATGCAATGGATAAGACTTGTTATGGGAAAACCACCTTTCTAATCATAGTATCTCCCCTGCTGGATAGGTTTTTATTTTCTTTTTTGACTAAAGGAAATCTTTTTTCCCCAAAAAAATCTCTCCTTCTTTTAAAAAATATATTTTTCTTTTAACTGTGGATTTCACATAAGTACAATTAGGCTCAGTCAGGATCAGGTTAGGAAGAAGGTCAAAGAGGAGCATTTTCATATGATCTGAAGGTTAGAATCAAGTATACAACAAGTACGGTTTAATTGTGCAAAGCTATTATTTGAGAAGTAACTGCTACTTATAAATCTCACCACTTGGATTTATAGTTAATATGATACAGTCTTCCGTACATTTAAAGCAATCCAACATCTTTCAGCAAGTCATGAGCTTGAAATAATTGGTAAAATAGTATTTATAGATGCCAATAATGTGTTTAAAGAATGTGAATATCGAAATTTACTCCTAGTCTATTAACATTGGTCATAAGTCGATTGAGACAACTGGTTCTAGGTGGAAAGAATGAGAAGCAAACACAAGTCAGTTGTTTAGTCGAGGCAGCTATTTAATTGTGCCTGGAGAGTCTAGAACTTTCAAAAGATTGAAGCTGAGAAGAAAGTGCTGAGAGGTAAAGTCAATTGTTTTGGCTATAGGAAAAAGTTAAATGGACTTGTATAACAGCATGAGGACAAAGGAAACGTAAATGATGGAGAAAAAGGAATATTCCATCTTTCTTAATTATAAATGAAAACTGTGTTCAAATATAAGCCCTATGAATGCACCACCTTACTGATAGTGATTGTTTAATTATTTGATTAAATATCATTAAAATCAAATTTGGGATACAGCTATAACCTCATTCATTCCTCATTCAAGGCCACTGACACCTTGGATCAGCTACCTTTGTTCAGATGCTTTGTCAAGGTAGGCACAGATGGTTCTGAATCTAAAGGACAAGTATTGACACTGGTAGGATGGATATCAATTTGAAAAATTCCTTGCTAGGTTCCACTGTGGTTAAGTATTCACACACTGTGAATTCACCCAGCCACTGTGGTTAAATAAATGACTTTCTTAGAATCCCTCACTTAGAGAACCCAAAGTCACACATGACAGCAGTACGTGTGGTGAACATCACTTCCTTTCTTAGGGTTCATCATGGCTGGTGGTAGCCTCACAGAGCATTCTAGCCAAAGAGATATGAAAAGAAGTCCTTGAGGAACAAGTCCTTTTAAAAATAGGGGTCACTCCTTACATAGATGGGCCAGGTGATGCAGTCCTGATAGTTTGGTACCTGGGGACTGGTTGTACTGGAAGCTACCAGAGTCACTCAGAAGTATTCATGGGCCACTAGTCCACACCCGATAGTGACTGACTGTGTCTGCTCTGGATTGGATCCCCTGGAACTTGATTGCAAGGAAGATTTGAGTCCTACTTTTTGAGCAACCTTTGCTGTTCCATTCAATTCTGATCAGATGCATTCAATATTGATATTGATACGCTCCCAACAAAAAGTTCTCTCAGACAACCTCAGCCAAAGTCACTTAGCAGAAGTATGTTGCTTCTTCCAGAAAATGAGACATTTTAGGTTAACATTCAATTTAAAGAAAATTTAGGTGTTTTTCTTTTCAGATTTTATCTCTTCTCAGATGATTCCAGATATTAATATTTTTTATTAATATCTGGAGGAACAAGAATTCTATGCTTTTGTCATTATGTTACTTCTTCCTACTATCATCATTATAATAAAAAACCCCGGCAAATTGCAACATTTCTGCTTAGTTTCTTTGCTTTCCTCATTGCTGCCAAAGCCCTTCTGTTCTGGGCACCTAGAAGAAGGTCAGATTACTTTAATTAATATGGCATGACCTTGACCACATGTCAAATAGAGATAAAGCATAAAGAATGGTATCAGATGTCTCCACATATGTTTCAATAGTTCTCCCAGATGCTTTACCACTGACAAAGGAAGTTTACTTTTTCTAAGATACTCAACAACATCTTCAGCTGCCCTTTGATAGAATGGTTATTTGTGCCAAAGCCCATAATAACCTGCCTGATGCATTCTCCAGCTCAAGTAGGCCAAAGAGGCCAGTCCTTTTCAAGTTGAACAATTATATTATTGAATGCAAGATGAGAACTAGAACCATATCAAAATGCTTTTATATAAAATAAATAATTTTTTTATTGACTATGAGAATAGACTCACAGTGGAAGGAATATCCCTGAAAATAGAGCTATTTCTGGATACGTCCTTGAAGCACACAATATGGTGCTGTATATTGACCATAAACAGGAGGAAGGGTAAGGTTGGTCACCCTACTGGGTTTTTTACCTCCTCAGCTGTTAGACTCAAAGCAGATCATCTGGTGACAAGGACTATGGTCACAGAACTGGAAAAACAGGTTTTGCAGGTCCCCTCAAAGCCAGAAAATTAAATGAAAGCTAAGAGGCATGCATAAGTCCTTAGCTCAAGGAGCTGAAGGCACATTAAAACTATCTTTAAGATCTTATAAACATTGGAATGGAATTATCATTAAGTAGAATTTATTAGAGCCTGCAAGTCGTCTTACAATTATCTTTGTTGAATAATTCTGATAAATTTTAAGTAAGCCCATTTGAACTTTATGTGCCTGGCAGTGCAAGTCCAGGTTTAAAAACTCTTTGTGATCCTTGGTGAGGAACCTTCCTGAGGAGGTTAGGAGAAAATCTGAAAGTGTATAGAACCAATATCTGAAGAACATCTTGCAGTTCTGAGAGGCTTATGCCCTAGAAATTCTGACAATGTATACTGAACACAGAAAGAGCCTCAGGATAAACCTGTAGTGTAATTTACCTGGTTTATCATTTTTTCTTGAAGATAAATGCCCAAGAACATTTTTAAGCTTAAATATTGTGGCATATTAAAAAAATTGCATACGCCTTCAGGATAAACCCAAGCTTTCAAAGGGATCTGTGTTATTGTTGAGTTATGCTGAGGTCTTAGATTCACTCTTGTCCACACTGCTAGTGGGGTCGGGGATGTTGAAAGCAATAGTAGGTAGCAGTGTTTTATTGTGCTTTGTCTAGAGGACAGCATTACATCAGTATCTTTTGTGAAGAGAGGGCTTTGCGTGGCTTATCTTTCCCCAAATATACAGAGGAGAACAAGAAAAAAAGAATAAAAACTCGTTAAGAAACTCATCCTCTGAAAAAACCTTTATAATGCCATTAACCAAAGGTCACATTAATCAAAATTGACATTTGAGCAGACATATTTTCAGGTTACTTTTTGATGCATACATGCAGTACAGCCTTGTGGTTCCCTTTTATATAGAAGGGGAGCACCTATCTATGTCTTTCTGTCATGATAGGAAACTTAAATTTTTTTGGTGAATTTGACTGTCTGACTCAAATACACACTCTCTGGTACCAACTCAGAGCAAAGAAGGTCACACACCTTTGTGAATAGCCAAAGCCTTTCACATTTTTCAATATCTCTCTTTCAAAAAACAACAGATACAAAATGGGGAGGGGGGAGGTGCTCAGAAAGTGGCAGTTACTAGTGTTTTCCAGACTGATAATTAAGGGGTCATTTTGGTATAGTATGATATCGTCATAAGGAATGAATACAAGCAAAAAAACTTTCAAGCATTTCCAGCATGATGCTGGGACTACTGGAGCATCACTTGCCAGCATCTTGGCTGCCATAGTCCCAGGAGCTTCCAACAGTGAGATGACCCATCAGGATGTACCTAGAGAGCCGAGCCCATCTGCCCATACTGACAGTTCCCGATGTGACATGAGCTTGTGGGGCGGATGCCTGCCAAGAGTAGCCAACAGCAGGAGGCCCAAGTGAGTGAAGTGGGGCAAGGAGGCAGAAGAGGTCCTCCGAGGAGGTCCTGCATACAGCTGCTGCCCACATGGCACAAGGCCTTGACCAGGAAGCCCTGCCTCCCACACACCTGCCCAGCCTGAGGGCACACGCTGCTCTGTAAAAGCTTTGTTCCGTGAGTGACTCTACTAGGAGCTTCTATAAACAGTGTGAAGACTGCAAAGGAGGACATAAGCCCCAAATCTCTCTCCTCTATGTTATAAGCACTTGAGGGTGATGGTTGGGGTTGCAGGCTGTTCCCTGCCAATGCTTGCCAGAATGTTGTTCCTCATTCACCCCAATCTCTCTCCTCTCTCTTGCTCTCTTTCTCTCTCTCTCTCTCTCTCATACACACACACAAACACATGCACACACACACACACACACACACACACACACACACACACACACACACACGCAAGCTTATTCTGCCCTGAGAGGTTCTTGAATGAGAAATTTAGTTGTCAATTTACTTTAAGCATGCAGCCCTAAAACAAATGGTCTTCCTTGGGGCCTAAGTGATTAGCACAGCAGGTATGGTATTTGCCTTACATGCAACTGACTGGGGTTCAATCCCTGTCATCCCATATGGCCCCCTGAGCCGACCAGGAATAATTCCTGGGTGCAGAGCAAGATTAACTCCTAAGCACCACCAGTTGTGGTCCCCAAATAAAAGACAAACTGAAAGGATGTTCTTTGTATTAGTAACACATAAAAGTGGATCCTGGGGAAATGGGGAACTCTAACTTCAGGTGCCTGAAAACTATGATAGCTGTATCATGATTAAGAGACTAGCCATTTGAGTCAACCTGCACAGACCAGAATTTTTTTCTCTCTGGAAGTTTTAAAACCTGGGCCATCATACTGATTTATCTGCAAGGTGCGGCAACAACCTGTGAGGGTGGCATAGCCTGAACACACTCAACAGAGCCCATGGTAAATTCTCAAATAGGAGGTGCTTGGTTAGAAAAATCTACTCAAGGATCAACCTTACCAAGGCCCAGACTTCTGAGAACCAAGCAGTTGAATCAGGATGAATAAGGACAGAACCCTTGAAGCCTTGGCCCAAACTCCACCTATTCCCCAAAACCTTCCTTTCTCGAGAGACCACTCCTGCATCCAGTCCCAGCCATGCTCTGCAGCACTTCTGTCTCTCCTTTTGTTCTCTCTGTTGGTCTTGGCTTCCCACTAGCCTTGACACTCTCAAGCAAC